GTCTGACTGAGTCATGGGAGCGCTACAAGGGGCTGTTGATGAGATGCCCAAGCCATGGTCTTGAAGATTGGAACGTGATCATTATTTTCTTCAATGGAATCAGAAGGGAGTTTCGGGATGCCCTAAATAATGCTTCTCGAAATGGTTTCACAAGGATGGAGGCTCCAGCAGCATATGAACTGGTAGAGAAGATATGTTCAGAAGCCACTGAATGGGGTAGTGAGACCAGTATTCGAAGGAGAGGAGGCTTGCATGAGATAGACAAAGTTGCAAGTTTAGAAGCAAAGATTGATGCTAAGCTGGATTCCAAGTTCGATGCACTCGAACGAAGGCTGGCCAAGATTGCTCTGGGTAGACAAGAGGAGGTTGTTTCATGTGAACTTTGCGAGGGTCCTCATCATAGGGATATGTGTCCACTGGGAGCTGCTCAGTTGGAAGATGTCCAGTATATCAATAATCCGCGAAGTCAAGGCCAGGGTGATATGTATTCAAATACCTACAACCCTCAATGGAGACATCACCCCAATATGTCATGGTCAAACAATAATCCAACTGGTGTTCGAAACATCCCACCTCCTGGTTTTCAACAGCAGCAGCCTCAACCAGAGAAGAAGCCCCAGCTGGAGGAGTTGATTTTGGCTCATATGCAGAAAACAGACAATAATTTCAAGGGCCTGGATCAATTTGTCACTCAACAGCTAGCCATCAACAATAATTTACAATCTTCTATGCTAGCTATGGAGAGGCAGATGGGACAGATGGCTCAAACTTTGGCAGATATGCAAGGCATGATTCCTGGGACATTACCAGCAAATACTGAGAGGAATCCGAAGGATGCCATGGTTGTAGCAGTGACATTGAGGAGTGGAAAGGCCTTGGAAGACCCTAGCAGCTCGAAAAAGGCACCAGAGGCAGAAGAGGAAGCACCAGGAGAAAGATCTTGTGCAGAAAATGAAGAATCAGCCTTGCACAGGCAAAATGAAAGCAGTTTGCCTGTGCAAAAGCATGTTGCCCGTGTACCTCAAAAAGTGGAAAAATTGAAGAATGAAGAGGTAAAGCCTTATGAACCTCCCGCACCATTCCCCCAAAGGTTAATGAAGCCCATGGAAGACCCAAACTTCAAGAAATTTGTGAATATCTTCAAGCAACTTCAGATTAACATACCCTTGGCGGAGGCACTTGAACAGATGCCTACATATGCTAAATTCTTAAGGGAGTTACTGACTAAGAAGCGCAAGTGGGCTGATCTAGAGAAGGTAACCCTTACTTCTGAATGTAGTGCTATGATTCAGAATAAATTACCAGAAAAGAGGGATTATCCGGGCAGCTTCACCATTCCATGTGTCATTGGAGGTAGAGAGTTCGATAAATCAATTTGTGATCTTGGAGCAGGAATTAATTTGATGCCATACTCAGTCTACAAGAAATTGGGATTGAGAGATGTTCTTAAACCTACTCGGATCACACTCCAATTGGCTGATCGATCAGTAAAAATCCCAAAGGGAGTGGTGGAGAATGTATTGGTGAAGGTAGGGAAGTTTATTCTCCCTACAGATTTTGTGATTCTGAAGATGGAAGAAGATCAGGGAGTGCCTCTCATTCTTGGGAGACCTTTTCTAGCAACTGGAGATGCACTCATCGATGTCGGGAGAGGCAAGTTGACATTCCGAGTAGGTAAGGAGGAGGAAATTTTTAATGTCTTTCAAGTTGATCATAATCACGATGCATTTGATGACTTTGAAAGTGGAAGTCGAGAAAGAAAAAATTCCTCCTCCTGTGATAGTAGACCACCAGAAGAACGATCACATGTCCAATCTGCTCAAAGTCTGAAATCAAAGCAAGGGCAGAAATCCTTGCCAGATCACCTCAAGTATAGATATTTGGGTAAGGATTTCAATCTTCCTGTCATTATTCCTTCTTCACTAACATTGAAACAGGAAGAATACTTGCTTGAGGCACTACAATACCACCTACGCCTCACTAAAGGGTCCAACATGCAAGCTAAGAAGGTCATACCCAATTTTCGCACACCTGGCCCTGCTGATTTGACTCATATGTTGGATGGAGGTTATGCGTTCTATCATTGCTCGGGAGGGTATGCTGGATACCTTTCCATACCCATTGGTTGAAAGCTCCATGAACGTCAGGCTGAGGACGTTAAACAAGCGCTTCTTGGGAGGCAACCCAAGGTAAGTTTTCTTTTCTTTATTTTTATTTTTAGCTGTGTCAAACCCGTGCATGTTTAGATTAGGAGTTGAACATTAGGGACAATGTTCCATCCTGAGTGTGGGGTGGCGAGTCTTAGTGTTTGTTTGTTCCTTTTGTCATGTCGTCGATAAAAAAAAAAATTCAAAAACAAAAAACTTCTGTCATTTGCCTATGTAAAAAGCAGGCTGCCTGTGCAAAGTTAATGGCTAAAAAACACCTAAAAATCAAAAAAATGAAAAAAAAACCTTGTACTCTTGTGGTAACATGATGTAAATGACTGTGATGCGTGTGAAATGAGTTTGTGCTTGAAGGAAATCATCGAAATCACCCCACTAGTGTTGAATTGCATGGTTCTTCACAATGAGCTTAAATGTTTTGATTGACTTGATATGCTTTGAATGAGCAAACTTTTTTAGCAACATTCTCTTTTGTGAGGATAGTGTAATGACTTTTGGTGAAGTAGTTAGGTGGAGAACATTGACCATTCGACATGTTTGGATACCGTGCTTACTTGCATCAATTGTGAGCTTTTGATTTTGCAACGAGTCTCTCTGTTTGATGGTTTTATGATGGGGTGAACTGTATCTTCATAAAAGAAAACACTACCCGACAAGTAAAATATAAGAAAGTTGCCATAACAATTAAAGTGTGGGTAAAAATGCCAAAATCGTGTGAGGCAATCACTCATTGCACATGGGGATTAGGAAAGATTCAATTGAGAATCGGTTCGCGACCGTACGATGTAGCTTATCAAGTACGATCCCCAGTTGAGTGAAGTGCCATTAGAGAATGTGCAATGACCCTCCACACGGACCGAGGATAAGGAGTTAAAAGAAGCCTTATGCGAGTGCTAAGAAGCAGAAATTGCTCTTGCTCGGTCACCGGTAGTAAGAAACAAATCCCACTTGTACTAAATACGACCTCTCGGCAAGCAAAAGCAGAAAGAGAGAAAGCCTCTCCTTGTCATAAAAGGTAGTGATGTGCTTAAAGTTAAAATCTTGTTTGCGAAAAGCTTCCCCCATTAGTTTTTGAGACTCCTGCTTTGTTAATTGCTTGTGATTGGTGTGAGTAAGCCAGATTGTCCTCACGAGATATGCACCTCACTGATGTGGTTAGATTCTCCTAATAACTGTTGCACCATAAGTTGTTAATCACCCGCTACTGACGACCTGAATTGAGTGTTTCTAATTGAGTTTTTGGATGGATTTGAGTCAGTCAATGGTAATGGTTGCAAAAAACTTGAGTGTGGGGTTAAAGGTATGACCATTAGAGCACAACTTGTTCTTTGAGAAAGAAACTACTGATTACAACAAGAGTACAAGGAAAATTTTGTTTTGTTTGAGTGTTTGATTAGTGAGTCTGTGGTGTGTCATTGTTATGGTTGGTTATGTGTTTGTGTCATTTGAGTCGTTGCTTAGGGACAAGCAACAATTGAGTGTGGGGTTGTGATATTCGGCTTTAATATATCGTATTCTTGGACTTTATGTGATTATCCGTGGTATGTTTTAGCCAATTGGTGCTATTTTAGGGCTCGCTAACCCGAGAATGGTTGAAAAACCATTACTGCCTAGTGTTATGAGTTTGATGTATTACAGGTGAAGAAAACACGAAAAAAAAAGCTGCACCGGCAAACATTTCTCGAAAGCTGGGCTTAAAGCCCAGCTGGATGGGAACTAATGACATGGGCCAGGGGAATTGGACAAGTAACTGGGAAACTAATGGTGGGCATTCTTTGGACAATTTGTGGGCCGAATTTGGGCCAAAGAAGGAGAAGGTGGGTGGTGATCTTTGGAGGGGTCGGCTTGGAATTAAAGGATTAGGGCGGCTCTTTTTGGCACTGGAATTCGGAGGAGAGCAGGGAATTAAAATTCTTGGGAGGAAACAGAGAAAGAAAGGAGACGGAGCGCAGCGAGGGTTTTTGGGGACGGAGGAAAATCTATTTTTGGCGAGCGACAGCGCAGCAGGAGCGCGGAGTTGGAAGTGATCATCGCGCGGAGAAAGCAACAGGCAATTGAAGCAAGAAGGAATTGATATCGGGATTACGTTCGAGAATCTCAGTATTTATCCTTTAGCTTTAATTGATACGATGATGATTATAAACATGATTGTGTGATTTATTTTCGTCATGAACTAAACCCCAATATCTGGGGGAAACACCATAGGATATAGCTATTTCTTGATTTGATGGATTGATTCATGATTCTTTTCTTCCGATCTCTATTGCATGAAATTTCTTAATGCTTTGTGTTGACTGGCCACCAATACAACGATTTGTAGTTAATTAGGTTATTAGCGACAGTGAAACCCTATTAACTGAACATATTTCATGTGACATAGTAACTTATCGAAGCGACAGTGGATTAAATAAGGTGCTATGCGGTCTTAAATAGGATATCGGTCTTTAGACTAAATAATTAACTCACTGAGCTACGACAGTAGGATTTGAATTAATTGCTTAGTACGTAGTAATTCCCGACAGGGATAGCTAGCACAGTAGTGATATCCTGGCTGTAGAGATATGGATTAAACTGATTGGAATATGTGAATTAATCTGGATAGGATAGGTAGTGAATCCCGGTGTTTCTCCCAGAGCTTTCTCCCATTGAATTTCTCCCGACAAATTTACTTTGCTTAATTAGTTTAATTATTTTGCTATTAGTTAATAATTTCATCTCTTAAACATTTTCACATATAGTTTGCTCGAAAGAATTGATAAATCATAAGGTTGTACCAGTCCCTGAGAGACGATACCCGGACTTTCCGGTTTTACTACGAGATAGGATTAAGGCATACGCTTTTGCCCTATCAGGTATGAAGAACCCTAGTTCCATGTGTTAGGGATCCTGATTGTAATGACTTGGGATTGTTATACTGTTTGATTTTAATCGATTGATGCATGATTCATTGAGTCAATTGAAGTCTGATCATCTTTTCTTGATTTCTGCTGCAACCTGAGATAGATAGAATCTAATTAGGTTGTTAGAGCTTCATCAATCGGTAGTGGTAGATTGGTTATACGAGAGTTAATCAATTTACTGTTTTGTACTGGAACCCAATTCCAGTAGTGGAGTTCTGTGCTTATAGCCTCAACAGTCTATCCCGGTGAAGGTTAGTCGCCTGCCGGTTAGCCTGCCTGAGAGGGCTTGGTCAGCTTAAGAGATTCCAAGCTACTGTCGGATCTTCCGCAGTTTAATCAACAGTTAATCAACCCAGGGTAATTACAACCTCGACCTAACTAAGGAGCTAGGGGGATTCATTCCCGAGTGACTCTTCCCTTGCTTTAGAAAAAAGAAACATTTCCTGCATTCTTACTGCTTTTGCTTAAAATCACAATCACTCGACTTAGTTTGCTAGATAATAGATATCACGGAGTAGGCAGTAGATCTAGACCTCGGGTTGAAAAATAGAACTTGCCACTAGTCTGCATTTTCGGACTGCTATTACACTTGGTCGCAGTTTGGTGTTGTGTTTTAGCGTGTCAAGTTTTTGGCGCCGTTGCCGGGGACCTCTAGGTTATTGTGGAAACGTGAAAGTCTGTTACTTTAGCATTTACTTTTATGCATCCTCTCTTTTCCGCCCTTGCTTTTCACTTGGGTATTTTGTTTTTGTTGGTGCAGATCTGATACATGGATTCTCAAGGCTTCTCCAACCGTTGGGGGTATCCACCACCACCTGAGTGGTATTACCCCGAGACTTCCTGGAGCAACCAAGGAGGAAAAGACTATGGAGTCTGGTGTCAGTACCAACCCCCCTACTATGAAGAACAATCAAAACCTTGGGTATTTCAAGAACAATCTCATTATCAAGAAGAATTCCTCCCACAACTAGAAGGGCCATCAGATCTTGATTTAGCCACAGCCCTCACGGGCCATCCGGCAGAGCCATGCTACACTCCACAACCAGATCCAAACTATCACTTGAGGCTTCTCATGGAGCAGATTGCTCGAGTACCTGAGAAATCCTTTTTCGAGATGGATCCTCATATCCAGGCAATTGCCCAAACTGACTTCTCCTTTCCCCGTGAAACAGAGGAGACCCTTCGGAGCATCAAGAAGCACATAGAGGTCATTGAGAAAGCTTATGCACAATTTTCTCAAGATAACCTTTATGCTACAATACAAGCAGAGAAGGAGGAAGAAGAAGTCAATCATGAGGATGTCGTGGAGCATACAGAAATTGTCACGAAAAGCTCCCATGATGATCATGATCAGAAATATCTTGTTGTAGCCGGCCATACCTTTCCACATCCCACACCGAGCGCTGAAAAGGAGGGCATGAATGAGGAGATGCAAGCTGATACTATTGAAAAGATTGAATGGCGACTTGCTCTCCAATCCGTGCTAGAAGAAGAAGAGCGAGAAAGGATGAGGAAGGAAGTTGTGGAGGATGACGGAAGTGAATTAGAGAAAGTTCTTGATCTTTTCCCAGGGGAGGAATCAAATTCTGAGGAAGGAAGGGGGGCTGAAGAAGCGAGTGGTGTCCAGGCTGAGGATGAAGTTGAGGTGGAAGACGCTTGCACCGACCATGATTTACATGTGATATCTCCACCAAACTTCGAGGAGCTGTTTGGCAAGGACCCATTTGCAGTGTCTCTTTGCCAGACCAAGGGCACATCAACATCAGTCCCTCTTGGTGGACGCGATGGTGGTCGGTCGATGCTGTCATATCTGGTTTGGGGCAATGAGACGAGTGGGGAAGAAAAGAAGAGGTCTCGCGGGTGGAGACTTCATATTCATCAAGTACACGAGCCTACATCACCTGCTTGTGACTTGAGACTCCACATCATCAACGAGAACCTCAACTTCAAGGAGGTTCTAGCATGACCGAAACTTAGGAGCCACCGTCCGGCTCACAACGGTAAAGAAGCGCTTGTGGGGAGGCAACCCCACCAAGGTTTGTTTTTCTTTCGTTTGTTTTTCGGTTTGTCCACTTGGAACTATGGTTTCAATCACCCAGTGTGTTTTGATGACTCTAGCCCTACTGACTGGTCCCATTTCCAGTCCCCCGACAGTCCGTATTCCCGGTAACATCATTTCCCCTTATCTTTCCCTCTGCTCCACTGAGGGCAATGTCGTGCTTAAGTGTGTGTGTGTGTGTGGGGGGGGGGGGGTGTTTATCTATTTTTGACTGCTAGATGAGTTTGTGTGCTTGGAGCTGATAATTGTCGAAAACATATTGATTCTGCGTGCTTAATGTGATTATTTCATTTGAGACATATAATGCTTGTTCGAAGCCTAATTTACTATGGAATGGTTGCAAAACCATTACCATCAAGTGCCAAATATTTTATATATTTCAGGTAAATGAAACGAGAAATTTGCATTGGTGGATAGAATAATTCAAGTGGACTGGATGTACATTTATTTATTAATTGGACCGGACCTTACTGAGGAGTTGAGCCGGGAATGGACTTTTGTGGGTCGGGGATTCTTTTTGGGCCTGGGGCCTGGGCGGATGGAGGGAGTTGAAAATTATTTGGGGGGACGAGAATTGGACCTTGAGATTTACTGGCTGGAAGTTAATTGGCAGGGGCATTTTTTATTTGGGCCATCTCGGTTGTCTTGTGGTGGCTATTTTTTTGGACGGAAGACTAATTATATTTGGGAGCGGGCGGAATTGAAGAAAGGAGGGACTTCTCTGGGAATTGAGGGGAATGGGAATTGGCGGAAGGAATTAGAAAGCAGCAGCGCAGGGAAATTCTGGGGAGCAGCGAGAAGGGCGGAAAAGCTCACCCATTGCGAGCTGTCGGGAGAGACAGAAACAACGAACATTGATTGGGAATTTCTTGAGTATTTTGTTCCTTCTCTTTTTATTAGTTTCATGATGATTAAGAATATGATTATATCTTTTGATTTCGTCATGAACTAAACCCCGATTTCTGGGGGAAACACCATAGGATGTAGCTATTTCTAGAATTGATGGATTGATTCGTATTTCTTTTCTTCCAATCTCTATTGCATGAAATTACTTAATGCTTTGTGCTGACTGGCCACCAATACATTGATTTGTAGTTAATTAGGTTATTAGTGACAGTTAAACCCTAATAACTGAACATATTTCATGTGACATAGTAACTTATCGAAGCGACAGTGGATTAAATAAGGTGCTATGCGGTCTTAAATAGGATATTGATCTTCAGGCTAAATAATTAAGCCATTGAGCTACGACAGTAGGATTTGATTTAATTGTTTGGTACGTAGTAATTCCCGACAGGGATAGCTAGCACAACAGAGATATCATGGCTGTAGAGATATGGATTAAACTTATTGGAATATGTGAATTAATTTTGATATGATAGGTAGTGAGTCCCAGTGTTTCTCCCAGAGCTTTCTCCGTTGAATTTCTCCCGACAGTTTTCATTACTTAATTTGTTTATTTAATTATGCTTTTAGAAATTAGTTTATCTCTCAAACCATTTTCACTTATAGTTTGCTCCATAAATTGATAAAACTTAAGGTTGTACCAGTCCCTGAGAGACGATACCCGAACTTTCCGGTTTACTACAAGATAGGATTAAGGCATATACGCTTTTGCCCTATCAAGTTTTTGGCGCCGTTGCCGGGGACTGCCATACCTTATTTTTGTTGATTTTTTTGAGTGAACTATTTTGATCTGGGTGTTAGTGTTCAGAAGAATTTTCAGGTTTATCCTCCTCATGCATGCCTAGGATTGTTAGAAACACAGTTTTCGTGGGTTTCTCTATTTATTTATGGTAGGATAATTATTGTTAGGGTTAGTAGTATTTGGGTAGAATTAGGTTATTTATAAGGATTTCTCGTATTTTCCCTATAAATATGTACTTTGGGTTTACTTTATAATCAGTCAAGGATAATATTATATAAAGTATCTCTCAACCCTAGTCTCTAATCTCTTTCAATTCTCATCTCTCTCTACCCTAAATAGTTGCCGACCTATTCTTCCCTATCTTCTCCAATTCTATTCTTCAACCCTAAATCCCTAATTTCTATCCCCAATCCCTAAATTCCTATCATTACGTATAATCGCGAGTGTCGAAGATCAATCTTTAGAAGCTCTAGAAAGAGGGTTTCTAACAGCGGTGCACGCGGATCGTTCCTCTATAACGGGATGCGCCGTTGATCATTTACCAACTCAGCGATCCATGTGCATCACTTTTTTTTTTCTTAGCAATGAAAGCCACATTGCCTTTGTCACATACAATCACAAATACTTTTGACGAAAGCGATATCACAAATCACAAATACTTTTGACGAACACGATCAATGCTAAGTATGTGTAGATTGACAAATTCTGGTATGGGAACTTTTTTTAACCAGTGTACTTTGAGCAAACTCCAAGAAAAGGAGATAATAAGCTCAGCTGAATGATGTTTCACATAGAGTTGTATGAATGCCTGCCACATTTTGCTCTTTGATGGAAGCAACTGGTTATTTCAACATTGGAAGGACAAAAATTGCTAGCTATCAGCCTATCACCGTCGCACCGGCTGACTCTACTCTACAGCATAAAGAAAGCTAATGTTCATAAAACTAATCGCATAAATCAATACAACATTATAACAGCTTTTTTAGTAAAATGAACCCTCCTGTGGTCTCCCATCAAATTTGGAACTCATATGTCTATATACAAACAACTCAAGCACGACTAGTAGTCTCTAACACATGTTGCAGCAGCTCCAGAGCAAAAGATCGCTCTTACATTTGTGCTGCAATTAACCTAGTCGTTGTCCTATGCTCCATATGTTCTTCTGTGCTGGTCTGATTTTCTACTCCAGAGAGTAAAGTCTGCTCTGTAGCTGTGATGCTAGCTGTCGATGAGATAGAAAGCTGATGATCCACGGGAAGAGCATTCCTCTTGTAGTTCCACACGAGCATGGAGATGTAATCCTGAGGTGAGATCAGACCTTGTTCATTAATCAGGGACCGCTGCTCATCCAGCCTCTGGGGATCTTCGAGGTTTATATATTCGAGCAAAGCCTTCTCATGATCGGGCCTCCAGTTATTTGGGAAAGGTGAGTAGTCGGTTTCAGGAACGAGTGACATTCGAGTGTACTGAAGCCCATCGATGGACTCCACGAGCCCCATTCTCAGCAAATTATGGTACTCAGGGGAAGAACCTTTCTTCTCCTTTAAAGGACGACTAAGATTTCGAGCACCAATCTTGTACACCTTAGCACGAGAACGTAGCTTGTATTTAGCAGCATAGAGCTTCGCTAGTGAACCTCTTAAAATGTAGGAGCAGAAGTTGACAATCTTTTTCCTGTTATCGGCATACCTGTACCACTCCACCATGGTCGATAGGAACTTGTTCATCTGAGCATTGGTATGAGCTTGTGTGGCGTGGAACATACGAAAGCAAGGCTGTGGGTCTGGATCTCGATCTCCTTTCAAAAACTGCAGCTTTCTAAACTGCTTGATGCATTGCTTCAAGCTGGCAGTGACTGATAGAAGAGTCCCCACACCCTTTTCGCTGATGATCTTGCCTCCAGTGGCGGTATATCTAAGTGTAGGATACACAACTCTCCTGCATAGAACATGGTCGAGAAACATGATCCCCTTTGTTATGTGTTCAATGGGAAGACTGTCATTGTCGAGCTTGAGCATGTACTTCTGATCCACAAATTCGACCAACTGCTTTCTCAGCGTAGCTGCATCTGCCCTGGGACCCCTGACACCGATCAAGATATGACCACCGTAACGGACATAGTCCATTTTCCTGGTCTTATCAGGGCCGCTAGTCGGCACAAATTCTGGCCAGGAAGTGTTGCCTTGTTCTGCTTCCCCTTCTGGGCTATTCCATATCACGTCACTCTTCGAAGGGGAATAGTAATCCTTGATCTTTCCCTCCACCCATCGATCCAACTCATCGAGACAAACGTTAGCTAATAGTGGACTAAGAATCCCACAGTGGCCCCATGAAGGTTGTTTCTCAGCTTCTTCGGGTGCAAAACCGAAAAATGTGTCTAGCCAATACGGATCCGGCTTCGGCTCATCCTCTGCCAGAACTCTCTTCTTCTGGTGCTTCCTCTTTGTCTTCTTCTTCGGTGGCTCCACTGCAGTTTTGATCACCGGTGTGGTCAAAGCAGACTTGATCAGGTCAACTATCTTCTTATCCCTCACATCCCTCATCAATGCTCCTATCACAAAACTATCCTTCATTCCATCCAAAACTGTGCTCAAGTCTCCTTTCAAGTACCACAAGTACCCAGCAAAACTCCTCCTAACCACCCTCAATACAGTATGAGCAGTCCTCCCGGGTCTAAATGCAAACGACTTCTGTGAAAATCTGGATTCATAAACAGGCTCCAGGATCAAGAACAACACCTCCTGGACTATCTTATCCTGGAAAGCTGCAGGCTGCGTGGTGGTGAGAATCGCCTTGATCTTCCTCTTGGACAATGAGGCATAATCAGTCTTATCCTTGGGAGATTTGATAAAGAAATCCAACCTAGCCCCCCACTTGAATCTACCATCCAGAACAGCATTCCTAAGCACAAGCAAATCCTCCAATGCTGACCTCTGAATAGCGCTACGAGGTACATAGGTTCCGATTTCATCAGCACAAACTTTCTGATAGGATAGAACCCACAACTCAAACCGACGTAGAAAAGAGGTCGAGTTGGTGACTGTTCTGTCCGGTTCACGGAAGTTCTCAATCCACATTTGGGAACAAACTGAGACACCATCTTCTCTCATCAGGTTGGAGGGGTCGTCAGGGTCAGGGGGCCGTCGGTGGTGGGGTGGAGTATAGGATAGTAACCGACATAGAGCCAAAGCGTAAGTCTTCTGATTCAAGGGACCAGCAACATGAGAGTATAGTAAGGTACCAGTGATTCGAGTGGTAGGGAGATGAAAGCTGCGACTGTAAGCGAATATTGCCAGGCAACGATTCATCTGGACAGAATGAAAGTGTTCCTCACAGTCGATTCTAAGCAGTCATGAATGCTCTACCCTTGATACATCATTCCAGGAAATGCAAGGCTTTTAGGCATTCAAATATACATAACAGAGAGAAATTAGATTTCGATAACAATTAATCAAGCAGGTAAAGAGTTGTGGAAACCCTTACTCAATAAGAAATGACGAAACAAAACAGCATTGGAGAGGAATATGTGAGGTTAAACAATGAAAGAAAACTTGGTTTCATTCTAATAGTTCTAAGTTCGGACATAGAGTGTAAGTGACTCGGTAAGTTTATCATCGTCCATGGAAACTCAACTCACTGACCAGTCTTTGAAGCAATCAGACTTAGTTATGAAGTTTGCTTCCCTATAAAGTGACAAACAGAAAGGAGGGGCGGCATTTAATTACCTGAAGAAACGCCGAGCTTTAGCTGCGGAGTGAGGAGAGGGCGACCGGAGGTGTAAACGGGAGCTGGGAGGCGGAGGTGGGGAAGCCACGACGGCGGCGATGGAGGACGGTGGTCGGCGGGGATTGGAGGTTTTGGCGATTAGAAGGAGCGAAGATTTTTTTAGGGTATTTTCAACTCGAAACACTTCCTAACACTAACAGAAGAGTGAAGGCAGTCGGCAGAGGGTAAAAGATTCTGCTTTGCTGCTCTTACTTTTAATTAATAGCTAAATAAGTACCACTACTAATGAAAATTGAGTAACTAAGCCCTTCCGTAGATATTTTAGACTAGGGGTGGCAACCGGTCGGTTTCGGTTTAACCGAAAACCGAAAGCTCGGTTATCGGTTAAACTGAGACAGCCCCTATAACTACCGACAACCGACCATGATAGAGGCCACGGTTAGCCGGCCAAACCGGTCGGTTTCGGTTTAAGGCTCGGTTAGCCGGCCAACCGGAAACCTAGCTTTTCTACCCAAAAAAAAAAAAAAATTAAAAGAAAAAAATCCTGCACCACTCATCCCTTATCTCGTTCCTTCCTCCACCAGAAACTTCTCTTCTCTCCCCTTCCTCCACCATTTCACACCCACCACCACCAAACCACTTCTTCTTTCTCTCCTTCCTTCCTCCATGGAAGACTACAACACCCACCAATCTCCTCCTCAATTCCCCATCTTCCCCTCTCAAATCCTTCCAAGCTCTCCGAAGCCCTCAAATGGGCCGCCCATACCAACTCTCCACCTCCCTCCATCTCGATCCTTCCCGCCGACACCACCGACCCTGCTTCCCTTCGCCTGCTCTGCGCCCAAACCAGGCTGCTCCTCAACTACGTCAGTCCATTTCGTCTCTACGGCGACCCTATCGTTGCCGCCTGCAGTCAGACCGGCTGCGATTACTTGGATATCTCCCGGCTGCTGCTGGTGGCGGGGCGACGAGGTGCATGCGGCGGGATGCGGCGGGGCGAGGTTTTTTGCGCCGCTGCGCGAGAAGGGGGAAGGGCGGAAGGGTTGAGCGGAGCGGCGCTGCTGCTGGTGGCGGGGCGACGAGGTGGAGGCGGCGGGGCGGAGAAGGGGGAAGTGCGGAAGGGTTGAGCGGCGCCGTCGAATGCTTTTGGAGGGGGAGGGAGTCTACTTAGGGAGTTAGGGTTAGAGAGGAGGAGGAGGATTGAAGCGGGTCGTTTTGGGGAAAGGGAAGGGGTCGGTTAGCCGGTTAACCGCCGGTTTCAGACCCCGGTTAGTCGGCTAGCCGAACCTCTTCTCATCTCCACCGCCAACCGACCGACGCAAGCAGAAACAGTTTTTCGGTTAGCCAAAAACCGGTCAGTTCGGTTGAAACCGTCCGGTTAACTGCTAACCGGAAACCGTTCTGCCACCCCTATTTTAGACTAGTGATTCTATGGACGGTTTGTTAGCTAAGTTGGCCAACTAACACTTCCGTTAAGAGAACCGTCAACTTTCACTAACGCATGTTGCTGGGTAAATTGCGTGTTTGGTCACTGAAATTACTTTAAAAGTTCATATTTGCCACTAAAATTAATTTATTCTATCCGTAGTCACTTATATTAGGTTAATAGTCCAAGTTTGGTCACTGGCAGTTAGTCTCCGTTAACTTTTGCTGATGTGGCAGTCAACTCTAATAATTGACCGTTAAATGAGTGACGTGGCAATTAAAAAATAATAAATTATTAATTTAATTATTTTTTATTTTCCACATAATTATTATAAAAATTAAAAAAAGAAAATCCTAATCTTCCCGCCGACTCATGATTAAAAACCTCCCGACCTGCCCTCCGGAGTCCGGCCCCGACAGGGCTCGCTTCCCGTGGCTAGACCTGATGATTGTCGAATGTCGTGATGACATCGTTTGCATTAGAGACAGACACCATTCCGGCCAAATCTCCGACATCATTCTCTGGAACCCGACAACATCCGAGATCAAGGATTTGCGGCACTCCTCGTACAACACCGAATGCACCTGCGAACAGTCGATTGGGTTTGGGTTCGACCCACAAATCAACGACTAGCTAGAAGGTGATCATGAAGCTGACAGGGGATTTTTTTAAATAGAATCTTTCTAGTTACTTCGTTTTCTATTTCTAGGTGAGAGAATCTTTAGAAAAAGCATTTTATTTCTACCGAACTAGAACAAGAGACCAACTGTCCTCCTCAGGACGTGTATTTTTACGATTGGTACACCGGGGTGAATACAGATAGTGGTGTGGGCGTCTATAGCTTAACGCCTAATTCGTGGAGGCGGGTGGATGCCCATTGGGGGACCAAAATCGGTAATCCGATCTGCTATCCCCCGACGTACAGTGGGAAGATGATTTATTCCTGGCACCCGGACTGGGTCGAAACGTATTTGATGTGGTGCGACTTGGGGACAGAAGAGTTTGGGGGCGCCAATTTACCTAACCCAACCGGGAGGCAGGAATGGATCGCCCATGCATTTGCTCTGTTGAAGGATTCGATCCCGGGTGCTTTCTGTAATTTCGAGGGCAGGAGTGTTGTGGCAGTAGAGGTCCTCGGGTCGGGAATGAATTGCAGTGTTCGAGAGACGCCATAATGAAAAAGTAGTGGTACTCTGTTTGTTTCTTTTCCCCCAAAACCTTCTTACTCTGTTTCGTAGTTGTTTTGGGATTATATTATTAGCTGTTTGATCTCATGGGTTGAAATTTATAGTTGTTCTTGGAATAATGAGAAGCAGGGACTTGCATGATCATCTGATAATTGTTGATCTTACTAATCTTCCTCCACTTAGCTAGAGTTTTAGCTTTGCTGATGGCAAAACTTTGAACCAACATGGTTCAATATTGAGAGTGTACCATTCTGGTTTGATCCATGCGGCGGTGGAGAGGAATGGCGGTGGAAAACAATAAGTAAAGGAATTAGGATTTTTTTTTATAATTTTTATAACAATTAGGTGTAAAATAAAAAACAACTAAATTTAATTATTTTTTAATTGCCACGTCACTCATTTAACGGTCAACTATGATAGTTGACTGCCACATCAGCAAAAGTTAACGGAGACTAACGACCAGTGACCAAACTTGAACTGCTAACCTAATTTAAGTGACTGTGACTGTGAATGGAATAAATTAATTTTAGTAGCAAACGTGAACTTTTGAAGTAATTCCAGTGACCAAACTTGCAATTTACCTGCATGTTGCCTGTTTGCTAATGCAGTCAGTAATATTTGTAAGCTGAATAGTTTTTGTTCCTACTTAGTTCCATAGTCCCACGTTTTTTTGGATAAACAGACTTTTTATTTATTTTATATAATAGTCCGATGAAATAGTATACAGATATGTTTACAATAGGACAGTTGATACTAATCGATTTGTCGATAAAAGACCCTTTTTATGCCACTAAATGTGCAGCTGTGTTAGTTTTCTAAGAAAAATAGTGACGAAATAACACTTGATCACAAAAAGGATGGGTAAATTGCAAGGTTGGTCACTGAGATTACAAAACAAGTTCATGTTTAGACACTACAAATACTTAATTCCATTCATGGGCACTAGATTTAATAAAACAGTCCAAGTTTGGTCACTCTCCGTTAGTCTCTGTCCGTCTCCATTAACCAAGTACGTTATTTGCTGACGTAGCAGATGGAATCGCTTAGTCAGCCTAATTTAACCCAAAACTGGTGAAACCCGAGCCGCCACGTCACCGAGACCAACCATGTCATCTTTCCCAACTGAACCCTTTAATCAACCCATCCCAATAACCGACCCACTCACGCTAAATCCCTAAAATGTAAAACAGATTTTCGACTGTGTCAGCAACAGCAAAAACATAGGAGATTCCCTCGACCATCTTTTAGTCATCAGATGAAAATCCAGGGGAAGCTTACGAGAAGCTTGTCTCTGGTTTTGCGCTCGTCGGTGACTGTTCGATCATCAATCACAGCCTCCATAGCCTGTCATCGATGGAGGAGAAAGAAGAATACTTGCACGCTCGTAGTAAGGCAAGTCTCTGATATTGGAGAACTTCTTATCAGCTTTCTCCACCAGCGTCCATAATACTTCACTCACTAGAATATCTTTGTTTGATTCCAATATTTCTCTTCATCTTTCTTTCTTCTTTTACCAGATTCGCTCAGAGAAATCCATTTGGTCCAGTTCCAGAATTTGATTGGACCTATTGAGGAGCACCGACTAAGTGCAAACGACGAGGCTATGATTCCTTCGCATCCTTCTCCGCCCACAACCCATTTCTCTCCACCCAAATCCCTACTACCTTCAGTTCTTTTTGTTACAAATCATCTCCCCCTACTCTTAACCTTTCTCCTAATTCGTTCTCGTTTTCCGTCTTCCCAAACCCAAAGCTAAGCTAAAGCCAAAACAAAGCCAAAAACCCCAAATACAAGAGCCAAATGTCTAAAACCCCAAAAAACCACCAAATACAACAATACATATCTAGATTAGCTCTAGAATATTGTCGGTAAGGCTGTCTAGAATCTTCCCAATGAAAGCCAGCCATTTCCTCGCCGGGTCATTGTCCTCCAGCAACAAGAGCCCGCGATTATATGTGGGGACCGGTCAGGCACCATCTGGAGGTGATTGTCGAAGGGGGGCCGATCAGACACATTAGAACTGGTTTTCGAAGGGAAAGAACTAGAAAGAAGATGGTTTTCAGATCCAGAAAGGAAAATAAGATAAACCCTTATTTTTATTTGATTAGGTCAGTTTATGGGTCGGGCAGGTTCAATGGTTGGGTTAGGTTAGACAAGATGACATGACGGATTTTAGTGACGTGGCGGGTTGGGTTTCACCAATTTTGGGTTAAATTAGGCTGACTAAGCAATTATGTCTGCCATGTCAGCAAATAACGGACGTAGACTAACGAGAGTGACCAAACTTGTACTGTTTTACTAAATCTAGTGACCATGAATGAAATTAAATGTTTGTAGTGACTAAACATGAACGTTTTTAGTAATTTCAGTGACCAACCTTGTAATTTACACCAAAAAGGATATAATCTTCACGATATGCCTACACCAGCCTTCGAGCTAGCTGCCACAACAAGGACTTTCTTTGCATGAATCCCCAAGTCTTTTTTAAACTACCACCAAACGCAGAGCCCATCCTTTATATGCATGCTAAACTTAGCATTAGAGCTGAACAAAGCAATCCAGCAAAAAGGGGAAAAAACCAAAAAACAAAACAACCCCAAGCGGTAGGGGTGGGCATTCGGTCTGTTTGGTTCAAACTGAACCAAAAAGATGAGTACCGATACACTAGTTCCAGCCAAAGGGCAAACCAATTTCGAACCAAATTATATTTCGGTTTGGTCGAGCCAAACCGAAATATAACTCGATTCGGAACGAGAAACCCGAAGAACCCGAGATTCTTTCTTCTCATTCCTAGTTTTCCCCCCATGCCCATTCTCTGACTCTCTCTCCCCATTATCTTCTTCCTTCTTCCTTCTCCCATTTTCTCCATCTCCATCTCTCTCTGATAGAACAACATGATGCCGCTCCGCCGTCGAGTACTCTGCCGCCCCAAGCGCTCCGCCACTCATATCATATTGGCCTTTCTCCGTCGCCGGGTGACTCACTTCTACTGTCACTCTAGAAATTGACCAAGTGTAACCACTTCCTAAAGCGTAGTATAGCGGGTTTGGGTTTTAATGTCAACCCGGGTCCTAGATTTGATGACTACTCAGTGAATTCGTGTTATCTAGCAATGAAACTTTAGTGCAGGTCTAAACTAACAAACAAACAAAGCAACTAAACGGTTGTTCTCAGGTTAAGAGAGGTCACCCGGATATGGTTCCCCCTAGACTGCAGTTAAGCCGGATTGTAATTACCAAGTTCAGTTTCTATGATAGTTATACTGCGGAAGGTTCTTAAGCAGTCTGAAGTCTCGACTAAAGGTCTTCAGACCCTCTCAATCTGAGTCTCTAGCGGGCGACTAACCTCCACCGGAGTAAACAGATTGAGGCCCTAACGAACAAAACCTCCACTACCGAAGTGAATTCGGTACAGAATAGTGAGTTGCCTCCTCAACTAAAGTGACCAACTCCCTACCTTCAATCAAGGATGCTCTATCAACCTAGGCAGATATTCTCATTCTAGGTTAAAGCAGATATAACAGGAATTTGATCAGGATTCATGTCATTCAATCATTCAAACCTCAATTGAATATAATCAAATCATAGAATCAGTACTTGGGTTCATACAATCAAACCTAACATACAAATCTAGGGTTCTCCATACCCAGATGAATGGGAGAACTACTCCATGGAGAAAGAAACAAAAGCAGAATCAGACGCGGAATTCATACTGTGAAGGATGGATTCGTGCTCCTGGTAGTTGATCGGCACTTCTCCAAGCTCAAGCCAAGCTCCAATGGTGATGAAGATCAAGCTAGGGCACTTGGAGACTCTTGTTCGTCGCTTTCTCTCTCTAGGAATCACTTTGTCTCTCTAAAACTCGAATCCCCTTGATCTTTGGCCTTCTTTTCCTTTAAAACAGCTGCCTGTCGCGATACCCGGTCGAAATACCCGGTCGGGTATTTTGGGTCTCGACCGCGTATAGTTGAAACGCACGTTTTGCCCAGGGGAAAAATACCCGGTCTCATCCAATAATCCCCGGTCGGGGATTTTGTGCCTCCAGCCCGGGACCCTCTCTGTTTCTCAGACGCCAAAACAGCAAATACCCGGCCTCTTCAGAATAATACCCGGCGGGGTATTTTTGGTCATGGCCGGGTATTTTCTTCCTCCAACACACTTCAAGCCTCACTTGCTCCTTTCGACCTAAATCTCGTTCCTTCACCTCGATTCCAACGCCGGGTCCTGAAATATGACATAAACACAAAACCTCACGTGAAATCGGCTTAAAACCCGAGAGTCAACCTCTCAAACGGCTCAAGAATAGTGGTGAAAATATGTGTAATTATCGGTCTATCAAACTCCCCCACACTTAACCGTTTGCTTGTCCCCAAGGAAACCTAACTCAAACCAATGCAACTCTCCAGACCTCTATAGCAACAAACAACCCAGATCGTAGGTAAAGGACTTCCTAGATCATTTAGCAGCTTACGAGGTCAACCGACGCACAAGTCATCTCATAGCTCCTTCGGCGAGAGCACTAGTATCGAGTCGGCATCATGGCAAATAGTGAGCAGAGGACAAATGAATCATGGACGAGTGGACTCTCAAAAGCAAAAAAAAAAAAAATCATGGACTCACCTTTTTAAGGTGCTCTATTTCCTTCTTGAAGATGGTTGGAACCCCTTTTCTTTCTGTCTTGCTTGTTTTCTGTTATTTTTTTTCCTTTTTTTTTCTTCAAGGGTCCCAACCTGCTTTTCAGAAAATGGGGGCTCCCACCTAGCAGAGGTTTTGCGGGAGCCCGGCTCTTACCGGCCATGCCAGGAGCGGATGTCTCGAGCCTCGTGCGGGGAAAGACATGTAAGGGGGCTGGAGGTAGTAGGTGGAAATTGGGAACGGGTTCTCGTCTCCCCTTACACACTTTCGCCCTATTCGCACGGGAGACGTTATTTCAAAGCACATTTTCGAGCACCTGTTATTTTCAAAACATGATACAAGA